ACACTCGGCAATCCTGCCAAAGCCAGCAGGGCTTCAGGATGTAGGGGCACTAGACAGCTTGCCTTCCCAGCAAACCTGTGGACTCTCCTACTTGATGTCTTCTGCTCACCTGCATCTCCATTTTTTCCTCCAGTTCCACCGCAAATGTGAATTATCGACGTTGTGTGATGGTGGAGAACTCAGAGACCATATTTTGCTGCCCACCTCCATTTGCCCCATCACCCGGGTGAGTGCTCCCGCCCCTGCCAGGGCTCTGGCTTGTCTGTGTTCACGGTTCAGATGTAAGCAGCATTCGGGCCTGCACATCTGTCAGAGAACTTTTCCAATACTTAGGGGTTATGTCAGTGTGTGTTTAAAAGAGGTCACTGTTGCACCAGCCAGAATGTGTGAGAAAACTCTATGGCACAACTGGTTCCAATTGTTGGTTCCAAATAGCCCTTGAGGAAGCACATTCATTCTTAGCACCTGTGGGCACAGCCCAGGTCAAGAAAACTTGGGCCCCATCTGTGCACGCTGAGGCCTCTCAGCCTCCTCCCTGTCAGCCTCTCTCCTATGTCCAGATGGATCTCTATTCTGTTGGTTCCCACTGGGGTGTCGCAGCCCTATTTGGGACGGAAAGAAGAAAAATTAAATTCCTTATACCCCCATCTGAAACTTTTTCTGTCTTCTGTGAGAGAGACTCTTCTCTCCAATAAGTACCAACTTAACTCTTTCTGCTCACCTTAAAAAATGCTGCCAAGTTCCACTGATTCCTCACATCTCAACTTGACTGGCAACTTCTTTCTAATTAAAATATCTAAGAAAAACCACCACTTTGGAAAACCATTTGTCAGTATCTACCAAATTGAAAAATATACAAATTCCATGACTCAACAAATCCCCTGGGAAATACAAGCATTTGTTCCACTGACAGACATGTACAAGAATGTTCATAGCCAGGCATTGGCAGCTTACGCCTATAATCCTAGCTACTTGGGAGGCTGAGATCTGGAGGGTCGCAGTTCAAAGGCCAGCCCAGGCAAATAGTTCTGGAGACTCCATCTCCAAAATGACCAGAGCAGAATGGACTGGAGGTGTGGCTCAAGTGGTAGAGTACCTGCTTTGTACTTACAAAGCCCTGAGTTCAAACTCCAGTCCCACCAAAAAAAAAAAAAAGAATGTTCATAGCAACTTTATTTATAACATCCAAACACTGGAAGCAGCCACAAATTGAGGCTTTACGGGCATACAGGATCCATTCTATGGATACTACATTGCAATGGGGAGGACAAACTATGCTGAATCTCAAAGATATCTGCTAAACAAAAAAAGCTAGACTCCAAAAAGCCATACTCTGTGATTCCATTTATGTAAAGTTCAAAAGCCAGGCAAAACTAATGTGGTCTCAGAGTCACACAGGATTATGTTTAAAGAGACAGTGGTTACAAGGACATATACCAAAAGGACATATGTGCAAAATTCATCAAGAGGTACTCCATGCTAGATAAATCTCAATAAAATGAATAATAAACATTGAAAAAACAAAACATAAGAACAGTGACTTAATCTCATATCATTAGATTATGCTGAAGAGAGAAGCTAAATGGAGGGCCTTGCTTCTCATAGCTAAAGCTTCCCAATCAACAAATTGAGTTTTTTCCAGTATCAGTGCTCTCCCAACACCGTGACCTTCGCTCACGTCTCACGTTAAAGTCACAGCAAGTAATGACAGGGGCCTGGAGAGTCCCAGAGAAACTTAAAAGTGCATGTTCCTTTTTTGAGATCCAAAGTTCCACTTTGAAAAACTTCTCACACTGTACTGGCTCTCTACTTTCTTTATTGATATTAACCATTTGTTTTCCTCTGGTTTCTTTTAAAAGATGCTTGTCTTTTCTCTTCTCACAGGATAGGCAAAGTGGAAAGTCTGATAGCAGCGTGGTGGCCAAGGGAGAACTTGTAATGCAGGTACCTCATTCTACGTGGGTCCAAGGCTGTGGCAGGGAGGACAGGGTTTGGGTTCTAAAGAAATGTATCTCAACGTTTGCTTTCTCATCTGATCGATTCTATCACACAGGAGGACACTTTATTCCCGGCCTCTGGAGTTACCTTTGACGCCACATTGTAGGCAAGTGGTGAGAAGGGAGGTTGGCTGATCCCATTGCTGGTCTAACTGGCTTTATCACCTCTTTAAGAGCAAGTTACATAAAACTTCAATAAGCAGACCTCCTAAACAATAACAAAAGTGTGGCGCAAAAATAGACAATGAGTTTCCCAAGGTTGCCTAGCTTCTCCACAGCATCACCTGCCAAAACAAAGCTAACCAGATCCAAAAGTTATTAATCCTTAAATGTGTCTTTACAAATTGTTTTTACTCAGGTTCACCCATGAGTATCTTTTCTTTATGCCTTCCACAAAGTTCTAAGGAATGCAGAGAAGACAGCCTGATGAGGTACAAAGAGTACTAGAAAAGGAAACAGAAAGCTGGGGTCTTTTCCTTTGCCTTGGAACCTTAGTTTCCTTGCTCAAAAGAGGATATAACATTCCCTGCGTTGCTGCCTTCCGCGGGTGCTGTAAGATTAAAGAAAAGCATGCAGATTGTGTGTTTTGAAAATTAAGAGTTAAGTTGCGATAGGGAATCTCAATAGGTAGACACGCACACACACCCCATCTGGTTGTCCTGCATCAGACTGACTGGGTAGGGCCCATGTTGTAGGACACTTTGAACATCACTCCTCAGGCTCCAAGATGCTTCTGAATGTCACACAGTCGTCCAGGCAGATGATAGAATTCTTAAAAATCACAAAGCTACTGTCCTTTTCAAACAGCGTGGCATGCTGTGTTTGCTGAATTTGTAGTTTGAGATCTGGAAATTCAGGCATTCAGCATGGAATATGGAGCAGAGCTGCATCTCTGGGTCAGACTGTCATTCAGCTGAATCCACAAGACTTCATCAAGTGCCAATCCCTGTGTCCGATGCCATGTAGCCCTTGATAGGAGGGTTATACAGACACCCTCACCCTATTCCCAATGCATTTAAAATCCACTGTATGCCTTCAGATATTTATCTAAGAAAGTAAAAAAAATGCAAATAAAGAACAAAAGAAACTCCCAAAGATATGACACATTTCCAGTTCAATAGTTTGAGTCGCAATGATTAAAGGAAATTTGTAGAGGGGATAGACCTGAAATGGGCCACAATGATGAGTTATTTGGGGTTCTTTTAAGCAAGGAAGTGGACATTTCAATATACGGAACAGGCAAAGAAGTCAGTGTGAGCAGATGCATGGAGGAGAAATCAGGAGACACACTCACTGGAACTGATAGGGTTTGGCTAGACTACAGCTGAGGGCTGGGAGGAATGAGGTGACAGAAGTAGAACGGGGCTAGACTGAGGCTTTGGTGCCAGATTTGGAGATTTGGATTTTATTGCTGAACAATGAGGTGCCATTAAAGATGTTTAAGCAGGAGTATTCCTGACATGGTATCCTGGGAAGGATCTGTATGGGAACTGCATATAGGACTCCCCTGGTGTGGGAACGGTCCCAATAGTGTGGCGCTGTGATAGCTACCAGAGATAAAGGGACATTCCAAGGAAAGATGATAGTACCTTTGACAGAAACAGGGAACCAGAAGAGAGGACCAGTTTTAGGGGAGATGATGAATCAGGTTGGGGCTTGTTGATTTGCTGGCCAGTTGAAGATACTCACTGGACAGCGAGAACTGTGGGACCAGGCTCAGGAGGAAAATTGGGTCTGGAAACATGGATTTGGAAGGTGCCAGGAGAGAAGTGATTATTTGCTACATGAGCATTATTTTACTTACATGTGTGACCATATGGCCATACCTTCCAAGACTGAATTTAATTGTGTCCCTCACAAAATTTGACCTTGTGCTGTGGGCACAATGCCACACCATTGTTGAATGAGTTGAAGCTACAGTGCCATTGCCCCATCTCTGATCCCAACCTCAAACCCTCATTGCCATTAACACTCCTTCAAGGCCACTAAAGCTTAGCCCCTCAGAAAATCAGCCAGCAGACAAAGACCTCCCTCCCCAACCACCACTCCTCCATGCCTGGGCCTGCTTCCCATCCTACTCTCTGAAGCTGTCTTAACATCAGCTCTTATCTCAGCCCCTGATAGATGCAGCAGAGCTAATTTCTCTTTCTTTTACCTTTTAAGTACAAGATCATCCCCACCCCAGGTACCCACCCCCTGCTGGTCTTGGTGAACCCTAAGAGTGGAGGGAGACAAGGAGAAAGGTATGTTCTCTTCTCTTTCAAAGCGCAGAGGCTATAGTGGCCTGGCCTGGGCTCCTTCCTCTCCTCAACTCCAGGCTGGGAGACAGGGCTCACTGCCAACACCATCATTTATGACTTCATTACCTGGCCTAGACTTTACACCACTATTCCTTGGCTTCCTCCTCTGTAACGTAACAATGATATCTCCTCTCATGGGCTTACTTTAAAGATTAGAATTCACCAGCGCTTAGCCCAGGGCCTGTCACATGAGCCACTGCAAAGGCTTCCAAAGTCAGACTGAGTTTTGAGACACCTGTTCCCTTTAGCCTCTGAGTCTTCTCTTCTTTTAAGAAACATGACATGAGTCATGTTGGGTCCATAATTAGGACCTCTTGGCTTATCTCCATCCTGAGAAGGCAGGGGACCCACCTCACCAGTGAAGAAAATGCCCCATTTGCTGGAGGCTAGAGACCCCTAAGCAGTGTGGGAGAAGAGAGAGAGAACAGTCAAAGTACCTCCTGCCTCCTAGTCCAGGAGTTATGAGTAGATGGCACAGCAATCAGGAACCTAGGTTTTAAAAAAGTCAGACTAGGCAGAGCTAAGCACGAATTATGAAGGCTCAGGCCAGTCCAAGGGGCAGGACACCCCTCCTAAACTGGTGTGATTGGCCTCAAGCTGGAGCCCAGAAACCACACCCAGATGTGGTCCCTGCCTCTCAGTGCTCCCATCCCCACCCCTTCCTGCATGTCCTCTGATGAGGGACCATAGGGCCCTCTCCCAGAACATTCTTTGATGCCTTAAGGCAGTCCACAAAGGGCCGAATCACACTGCTCAGACCATACAGAGTGTTTGGGAGAAGACCTCCATGGATGAAGAGCCTTTAGAATGACAGTTCTGTTCTCTGCCCTGTCCTCAGCAAGGGATGATGCTCCTGGAGTGGGGGTTAATGTCTTAGATGATGGGGTGTCTTTAGGCCAGGTAATGAGGATTCAGAGATGCCAGGGGACCTGGGCTATCAAGGTCTGCAGGCAGCATTCTCTCCTCTCAGGTTTCAGTTGATGATCAATCCCACCATGGTTGGATTCTGTAAGTGTTTGCTTGACGTGACTTCTTACAATGACATTTTCCTTCTCTGTCTCTCTCTTTCTCTTTCTCTCTCTGCCTTTTTTCCCCCATAGAATTCTTCGGAAATTCCACTACCTGCTCAACCCCAAACAAGTTTTCAACCTGGACAATGGGGGACCTACTCCAGGGTATGGAGGCAACAATTTTTACTTCTTATCCCCTCTTAAGTCTCTGGAGAAGAAATCTCCCTCTTTCACCTTTTTAATCTCTTTCATCTTTCAACTTGTCCCTCCTGTCATCTGATGCCTCCCCTCCCCCGCCCCCACCCTGTTTTTTTCTTATTCTCACATGCCACCTTTTCCTCAGGGCCATCCCTTATGACTGTTTGAAAAGTGGCCTTTTTGGTATCTTGTCACTGAAAAAGTTGTTGATCTTGTAAGAAGGGAAAACTGCATATCCCATTCACCTGATTGACAGGAAGGGCTGGCTGGTAAGTTATTTACAAGGCCTGTTAGCTAGTGTCTTCATAGCCTATCACCAGGGAGGAAAAGGAGTGCTCTTATCAGCAGTTTTAAAATCTATACAGTGACTTGGAGTTTCCACCATGTACTATGCTATGGGGACACTTTAGGATCAAGACAACTGGTTACTCAATGAAACTACTCTTTCTATGGATTATCCAATTTTGGGGTAGTTAAGCTCCCCCTGGCTCTTCTCCTGCTGCCTAGTGCTTGTTTCCCTGCTCTTTAGCAGAGGAGGGGATGCCTCCTCTCAAGCCCCTGTGCCTGAGGTGACATAATGAGACTCTCCCTGTCATCAAAAGTCTGACCTGGATGGTGATGCAAGCCTCTGAAGACTGAGCTTCTTCCAGAGCTGGTTCCTTAGCGCCATCTGCTGACCATTCCCTGCCAGGGCTGTCTGCACATGCTAGACTAGGGTTTCCCACCTCCTATCCTGCATTTCTACTCTGGATTCTAAGACCTTCTCCCAGGGGCTAAAAATGGAATCTGTCCCTATCTTTAGTTGTCTGACACAGAGCGGTTATTTATGGCAGTGGTAGCACAAGGCCCAGTTAAAAAGAGAAAAAACCCAAGTACATATTCAGTACTCCTTCCATGTGTTACCTGTAAAACTTACTTCAAAACAGAGGCCACAGACTGCTACAGTTGCTGTCACAGTCACCATGACTACCAGTGGCTGCCAGATGGCACAGCCTTGGGCCTGAGCAGCAAGTGCCTTTACCTGCCCACTCTATTCTAAGGTATTTCAGTACCAGAATTCAGTCCTCTAGCTTACTTTACCAATTCTAAGTTATTTTTACCATTGATGACAAGTTGGAGCCAACTTCCCAAAACACTCGGGCCCCACCAGTTATAGGCCCAGCTGTAGGGTTGTCTAGCTGGAAGGGGCCATCATTCAGAATTCACGTCCTGTAGGAGAACAGAATTCTGCAAAAACATGGAAGAGAGACAATGTTAACCGACCTACACATTACTCAGTACTCAAAAAGCTCCACGGTGGTTTCTCAGCTCACCAGGCTGGACAGAAAGCAAGTACTAACCATGAGAGTCCCGCCTCCCACCCCAAATGGTTCACTGTCACATTTGCTCTAAAGCAGGGTTCTTAACCATTTTGTACTAAGAACCTTTTTGGCAACCTAGTAAAGACTAAGGACCCCTTCTAGAATAATATTTCCTATTGCATAAAATGAAATATTATAGGATTAGCAGGGAAACTAATTATGTTAAAGAATTGTTATCAAAATATTTAAAAACAAATTTGTGATGTGGGAATATATAAGCTTTATCAGCACATCAAATGACAACATCCATAGTCAGATCTAATAACTACTGTAAATTCAAAACAGTGATGAGCATAAATGAACGTTGATGGACCCCAGGTTGAGAGCCATGCTATAAAGGGTTAAGACTTCTGGAAAGACTGTTTGGTTCTGTGCCCACAAAAGAACTATATGAACATCTAGCTAACTCAGTTCATCTTACTTAAAGAGAGGTGGTAAGGACAGAGCAGAAAGGAGAGCCTGCTCAGAATATTAGGGTTATTTTTATTGGTGTAAAATGCACAAATTGTGAATTCCTCTGCCTAGATAGTGAAGAAGTTCTATGTCACCAGTATTCTGTTTGTGCGAACGTTAAGTCAGCCTCTCTTTCTGTGAGACTGGATCCTGGGATTTTGTTCCATAGTCAATGGCACTACTGCATAGTAACTTCTGGTTTCAGAATGTTAAGTGCCTCCTTCATCCCCCAAAAGAATCAAGGTCTTAACCTACTCCCCAAGAATAGGGAAGGGAGATTCTGGCTCAACAAGTAGAAAATGTCAGTCACAACGCTAGTAACAAGGCCTTTCTTCTACTTCCCAGACTGAACTTTTTCCGTGATACCCCAGACTTCCGTGTTCTAGCCTGCGGAGGAGATGGGACAGTTGGCTGGATTTTGGATTGCATTGGTAAGAAGGGGTTGGGAGGGCCTTCACTTGTTCTTTACATGAATTATATTTAAAGTCAGCAGAAGGCAATAAAAAAGAGAGCTGGAGTCATGTCTTGTTCATCCTTGGACTGATGTTTTGAGTGGAAAAGAAAAAGAATTAAGATAATAGAAAGATTCTCATGAATACAGAGATAACACTTTAGTTTCAGGCCTTGTCTCAAAAACATCTGTCATGGCCAAGGTTGCAACAGTAGCATAACAGGCCAGATTTGACAGCAGGACTGGAACTCCTGGCAGAGCCATGGTGGTGAATAGAAACCAGAAAGCAAAGCATAGCTGCATAGTCCAGGGAAAATTACCTTGCCATGAACACCTGGAACCTGAGTCCAGACAGCACATCTGGAAAGTATTGGTCAGTGCAATCAAAGAAGGATCAGGCCAGACTATGTCCTATACCTCTAGATCAAAATGGCAACAGGACGCCCAAGCTGGGAGCCTGGAGGCCTGAATTCTAGCCTAACTCTGTCTGGATCCTTGGGTCCTTGGACAACATCTCCCCCCAGAAGTTATGGAAACTGGCAGTGAAATTCTGAGATGGGGCATATTCAAGATCTAACCCTGCCCAACACAGATAAGCACTGCACTGGGAAACATAGGACAAGAAAGCAGCCAAAGAAAGTACTGGGGAGGGCAAGCATTAACGTCGTAGAGGGTGCAGAGCCATGAGCCCTGGGCTGCTTCAGGTTTTCCATTGTTCATCCCTCAAATACTGCCTGTGCACCTTATGTGCCAAGCCTCCTGTGGGTACCAGAGATGCCTCAGTGAGCAAAAATCCTTCTAATAGAGCCTACCTTCTCGAGGCAAGAACCAGGCAATAAGCAACAAAATAAGTGAAATACCTACAATGTCACAGCGTGATAAAACAATATCAAGGAAGGGCAAAGGAAATGCAGGGAGGGTGGAGGTGCAGTTGCAATCTAAAACCAAGCGGTTAAGGAAGACTTTGCAGAGAAGGAGTTGTTGCATGGAGATCTGGAGGAGGAGTAATCCATAAGGATGCCTATAGGAAGAGCAGTCCAGGCAGAAGGAACAGTTGCAAAGGCCTTGAGGTGGGAACAGCCTGGGCTATTGAAGGTAGGCCAGTGTGGCCAGAGCAGAGTACATGAAGAGGGCATTACAGAGGATGAAGGGCCCAGATCATGAGGGCATGAAGACATTACAGAGAGCATGGCTTTTATAATCAGAGAGTCCCAAGACCTTGGGTGGTTTTGAGCAAAGGAGGAATATGACAGATTAAAAGATGAGGTCAGAAGCAAGGGACCATTTAGGAGGCTGCTGCAGTGACCCAAATGAGAGGTGGCCAGGACTGACCCAGGGTAGAAATACAAAGTAGTAAGAAGTGGCTGGATTCTGCAAGATTGAGGCAGCAGAGTTTAATGACAGCCTAGATATGGGGAATGAGGAGAGAGAGAAGTCGAGGATGAGCCAGGACTAGACTCTGAGCAGAGCAGAGCAGGCAGAGGCTCCAGAGCTGGAAGAAAACCTCCTGGAGGGGAGAAGACACACCTGCTGCCAGCTGCTCCCCGACAAGCGGGTGCTTTGGTTTCCATGGACACAGCCCTACTGAGCAGCCACCCACGCTCTGCTGTCACCTTGGGCTCTGAAGTTGTTGGTGGGAGGAGGGAGGAGCCCTCTAAAAAGGCAGGCTGATCAGCAGAGGGCAGTGGCTGCAGTATTGGACCACTTGCAATGTCCACTCTCCATCGTGAGGAAGAAGGCAGGCCTTGGTGAAAAGTTTTTCAGGGAAAACATGTGACAGAAGATGCTCAAATAGAAAGAGAGAAGATGGTGTGTCCTGAAGGGAAAGTTAGAGCTTTTTCCCACCAGGTAGTGGAGGGAAAAGAATAATAACTGCATGATATGTTCCTTCATTCATTCAACACATATCTAAGCACCTGTTCATGGTCTCTACCCCTTGTGGTCCCTTCTCTGACCTGCCTCCACCATCACCACCAACAGCCATAGCTCCCTCTTCTGAATGTGGGTAGGTTCACGATATGTGTAAAACACATCCCATTATTCTTAAGCTAAAAACGAAAGCCCTCCAAATGATCTGCAGGGCCCTGGGTGGTCCAGCCATAGCCCACCCTCCCAGCCTAGGTCATTCCTCCACCCCTCTACCTCAGGACTAAGACTAAGCCACCCAACCCTGCTCTCAGACCCTTGAACACACCAATCTCCCTCCCCACCCAGGGCCCTGGCCAAATTGCTGCTCCTGACTAGGACACTCCCCTCGCCTTTGTTCCATCAGCTTCCACTTCAGAACCCAGCTGAAGTGTGGCTTCCTCGGGGGTCTCCAATCTCATTCACCTTATTATACGACCATGGAGTTATACCTTCTGAAGACCTCAGCAAGGTGTGTCTCAAACTGCACTGGAGGCATTGTAAGAACCTGAGTCCCAGCATCATGCAGAGCATGTGGCATACAGTAGGCCTTAGTATTATAGCAAAGGACACCTTCCCCAGGAGGTTACAGACCATTCATGGAACAAACAAGTCCACGATTACAAGAGACTGTGGTGAGGCCACCCCTGGTGCTAAGGAAACACTGACGAGGTGCCAGGTTGAAACTGGGGCAGCCGAGGGAACCTCCCAGAGGCAGCTTTAGAGCTGAGCAGTAGAAAGCTTTGTAATTTAGGGAACTGAAAACACAAACATCAGGATGGTTGATGCTTAGCGTGGGAGGTCAGGTATGCAGAAAGATGAAGCTAAGGAGAAAAGCAGAGCCTACTGTGCCAGACTGTGGTAATGGGAAGTCACCGTAGAAGTCAAGCAGTCCACTGATGTGATGAAGCTTGTAGCCCAGGGGTCGCCCTCCTTGTGAAAATGGGGAGAACACAGTAGGAGGGTGGAGCTGTAGACAGAGAGCCCAGAGGAGGCTGCAGCATCAGTACCACTGGGAAGGAATCACACCTGCACTTAGGTGTCACCGTGGGGATGGAGAGACAAGATTGCTTGGAGATCTGTTAAGGAGACAGCACATAGGAAGTGATGTGTGGATGGATGGAGGTGAGGAACAGGGAAAACCTAGGATGACATACAGGTTTCTGGGCTCAGGGCCATGAGGAGGTTTAACTTATTGATTTGGGAACCACAGAAGAAAAGGCAGACAAGAAAACAAGAGCGTCCCAGGCAAAGGGAACAACAGCTTTTCCAAGGTGGGGTAAGGGAGGATGACATGAACTTGAATCACATAACCTGGGAACAATGACAGAGTCTGTGACGTGGCTCCATTTTCCTTCTCAGCCCTGGGTCTTGCCTGAGCTCAGCCACTTTGGGCACAGGTCAGACAATTGTGAGAAGCTGTGAGCTCCCACTCCAGTAGGAATCACCTACTGATTCCTGCAACTTCTGCCCCAGTCACTTTACTCATATCCCGGGGCCCTGTGTACACAGGGACTCTACAGATGCACCCCAGAGCCCAAGAGGCATCTGCGCCTCCCTCTTCACCCTTCCCTGTCCAGACAACATGCTGCTCAGATCTATAGCCGGATGAAAGCAGGTTCTGCTGTGCTTTCTCCAACGGTTCTCTCCAACACTTCTTCACGATAGTGACTAGAGAAAGAGTAGGAATTTATGTATGTGCAATCCTGGAAAATGGTGGAAATGATAAACCAGTGTCAGTGCCAATATAACACCTGGAGGTTTTATTTGTTCAATACAGCATTTTTTAAAAAACTTTTAACTCTGAAAGGCTTTAGGTGAGCATTTTCAGTTTTCCAAATGCCCTGCCATTCTCTAATGTGTCATATCCACCCGTTTTTACTAATCTATGCACCTGCACGGTTCTAAAGAGAGAAGGAGAATAGATTGAGCCACAGAGATCCTGGTTTGGATCCTGGTTCTGGAATTGCCTTCCCCCCATGAACCTCCTTTTCTTCATCCACAAGGAGAAGGGTGATACTTTGCAGGGTTGTTCTGAGAGATATATGCACCAATTCCTGGCTATCCACTAAGATTAAGACTATGCCCCTTGAAGAACAGAATTAGAACGAAATTTGGATAAACAGATGCACATTATAAGAAGATATTATAAGAAGATTTGGCTCAATATGAAGTACAAATTGACAGATTTGGCACAATTTGTAGTAGTGACCACCCTGCAGATCAAATAGATGACTTTATTCTCCATCATGGAAGATATTCAAACAAAGAATGCTCTGGAGAGGTTCCAGCATGAGATCAGGGATTACAAAATAACCCAAAGATTCTATAATCCTGTGGTAAATGTTCTGTGTTCCTTTGTGTGGGTTGCAGATAAGGCCAGCTTTGCAAAGCATCCACCAGTGGCTGTCCTGCCTCTTGGAACAGGAAATGACCTGGCCCGATGTCTGCGCTGGGGAGGAGGTGAGTCTGCACGCTAGTGGCTCTATCCTGGGACTGGTGCTATGATTTACGGAATGTTCTACAGACCTTGGGGTACTTATCCTCTGTATTACCACAGAGTAATACAACAGTCAGATCTAACCCATGACTTTCCCTGCCTTCCAGTCCATGCTGAGTCTGGAGAAAGGCCCCTCTAGTGGGTTCGGGGATCCCTGTGCTCACTCCTCTCCATACTTACTATCATTCTGAAATCATCAGCTTATAGCCTCCCCCACCCCAGTAGAACATAGTCAACTTTAGGGAAAAGACTAAGATTAATTTGTCTCCTTCCCAGTGCTCACCCCAATAGTTTACTTAGGTGCTTTCTATATGAAATCCCCCCCCCCAAAGTAATGATCTGAATGAGGATTCAGAATGCAGACCAAAATGCCAATTATTTAGAGACACCAGAGATACCCAGATTTTCTCAGGCCCCCACGGCCACTGGGCTCTCATTTTAAAATACCTAGGACAGAACACACCAGTGTATAGTACAAGGGCAGAAGTAAAGAGAGCTTTGCAAATGGCAGCAGCTCAGATGGATCTGGGCATGCTTGCAGAGCCAAGTTCAACTCAACACAGAGTAGACAGATCCATCTGGCAGACAGAAGAGGGACAGGAACTCCAGATGGCTTATCAATTCAGGGAGAGTTTCAAGACCAGGCTGGGCAGCATCACTGTTCAAAGAATGGTTCTTGCTTGGAGGGCAGGAGCAGGAAGCAGGAGCCAGCTCTAGGAGCCATCTTAACATTCTGCCTTACCACACTGTCCATCTCCCATGTGGCACAGTCCTGGAATGGATCTGTTATCTCCCACACACAACTTCCCAGGCATCCAGCCACCAATTCTTTAAGACTTGCTTCAGTTCCACAGGCCTGCCTACCTTTAGGCAGCACCCACCCACCCTACTCCACACCCTGCTCTCAAGGCTTCCGAGTCACCCCCCAGCTTCTTCTTAATTCCCCCCTCTTATCTTCCCCTTCTCCTTGGCTCAGGGGACATTAGTGTCTCCAGCCCACAGACACATTTTGTAGTCTCTGGGTTACCTGTCCTGACAGTTACCTGTGTATCAGCAACAACTTGGCCTTTTTGTTCTGGGGACAAATGCAATGCCATCCTGTACAGGTTATGAAGGGGGAAGCTTGACAAAAATCCTGAAGGACATTGAGCAGAGCCCCTTGGTGATGCTGGACCGTTGGTATCTGGAAGTCATCCCCAGAGAGGAGGTGGAGAATGGAGACCAGGTTCCATACAGTATCATGAACAACTATTTCTCCATCGGCGTGGTGAGTTGGTCAGTGGCCACCTTTATGCATGACACCAAAGTAACCAAGAAGGACGCTAGTCTTTCATTGTGCCCATGGGCCCCTATTTTTTGCTTGTCCTACCTGCCCTAGCCATGACTTAGTTCCAGACATCCTTAAATCTGGCATGAGTATAGCCACCCTGATTATACAGCCTCTTCTCTCCTTGATTATGGAGGAAATTCTTCCCGATATAATTTTAGAAAAAAACTAGAAATATTTCAAAAGATGCTTACTTTTTGGATAATTTGAAGCAGTTAAAGAAAACCAATACCAAGAAATAACCAAGGAGCAAGGTCAAGAGGGATTGGAAGGTTTTTCTATTTTGTTTTTTTCTTTCCTTTCATTCTTGCTTTGTTTTGTTTTTTTCAATGCCAGTGATGCTAAACAGGTGCTGTACTCCTAAGCTACATCCCCAACCAGGAATTGGGAATTCTAATCCTCAAGAGGGACCACATGGCCCTACCTCGCTTTGCAGGCTTCGGACTCAGAATTCCCTTCTTCCTGTTCTCTCCCTTCCTCTCTACCCTATCTCCCATATCCCAAGTACTTCATACACCTCCTGGGGGAGTACAGTGCTTAGGCTGAGTACAGTGCTCCTCCTTGGTGTTCAAACAGACTTTTATGTTCACCCCATTATTGCACTCTCTGGAATAGAATGAAAGGATGGGTTTAATTTGTCTGACTCATTGTCACCCAAACATACAATTTACATGCTTAGGCTCACACACACACAGAGCAAAGGACAGCACTGTGTTCTTCTGACATCCTCCAGCCCCCAGCACAGCAACTGTAGCTCAGTTAGTTTGTCTTATTAAACTCAGCTTCTGGTGCAAAGGACTATGTGGGCATTGCTTCCCAGGCTGCTGAGGACAGGATGAGTGGTGGGGTAAGAAATCAATCATGATGATAAATTGAGCTGGGTTTGGGAGAAGGGTGCAGCAGAGACACTAGCACTTATTGAGCACCTACTGTGTGCTCTCTACTTTGATAGGCTTTATATATTCTAGTCCTTACAGCGATCCTGAAGATAACATCGTCTCCATCATCCTCATTTTACAGAAGAGGCCTCAGGACTCTTGACTCATTCAAGGTAGAACTAGGAAGCAAACAACTGTCTCTTACCCTGGAGGCAGGGTCCATCTTCTCTACTTCTCTGTCTTTGGGATTATGCTGACCAGTGTCATGTGCACATGAATCCCTACAGGCCATCCTCTGTTCCTAGACCTGGGAACACCCACACTTCTCAACCGTTCTCACCTGTGCCTCTTTCGAGACTGATGGTGGTTTAAAAAAAAAAAAAGGAAAAGAGAAGGAAAGAAGCTTGAGGGAATAGCAGATTTAAGGAGTTTTATTTTTTAATAAGGCTAAAAGGAGACTCATGGAAAGAAAATGATTTAAGTAATAATACCTTGTATTTACAAAAGGATTGAAAAATTATCACATTTATAGCTTTCATTTTTATGAAAATTACAAAGGGTATATTATTTCTACTTTCTGAATGAGGAAACAGAGATTCAGATGAAGGGATCTGCCTTCATCATGCTCTCTTTCTATGACTGAAACAGAAGAGAGAATCATTACTGGGCCCATGGTCAGGTTCTGAGAGGGTGGAAATGGTGGACTGGTAGCAGATTTAGAGGTTCCTGTGTCCCAAGGTGGTTTATCCTCCCAGGCCCCTAGCCTCAGCTGGTGTTGGAGGGGTACACCTTTCCCTAGACCTCCTCCACATCCCCTTCTAGTAACCTATGCAGAGACCCTCTCCTCTCTTTGTGCTATAAGGCCCTCTGTCTTTAGATCCTGCTCAGGCTCTACTTCTCCCAGTTACATCTTCAGCTTCTACAAATCAGACATGACTCATGCCCTGGCATTCAGAGGGGCTCCAGGAGAGTGGGCTTCCATCATCAATTTTACCAAACTTCATGTCTTTTTCCATAGTAACCAAAATATAACTTGCTAACATTTGCCGAATACCTACAGCACACAGGCCCCATTTCCCTACTGGTAGATAGAGTCATTATGCATCTATGTTTTGTAAGAAGGAATATAGCTTAGACACCTACCAAAGGAGTCCAAGCAGATGAGTGTTGGAACTGGGAATCATTAGTGTTGAGTCCCTGCATTGGCTGAGCTGTGGCCTCTGCACAGCCCCTTCCATCTTCACATTGCAATGAGAGGGAGGTTTCAAAATATACTGTAAGACTGTAAGATGGCTCACCCAAGGCCCTTATCAGAAAAACAAATCCCACTTCCACACCAGATTCTGATTCATATTCTCAGTAGGTCTGGACAAGGTCTGGAAATTTTTTAACAAGCCCCTGAGATCATTTTGATGCAGATGGTCCTGACCAACTCCTTAGAGAATGAAGACAACCCTTTAGAGCAAGTGGTCAAAGGAAGTGACTCTCCAGGCACAGGAATCAGAATGAAATAAATGAAGGAGAGGGAAACTAGAAAGGAGGGGAGAACTAAGGCTATAAGCAACTAGCGGGGAGTAAGAGTTGAGCATCTGAGGGACTGGCTGGGCTGCCCAGGAGCTTGTACAGGGCAGGTCACAGCACCACACCTTCTTTTTCTTAACACACTCAGCCCTGGCTGAAGAAAGCAATGTGATTTCCAACACCTGTCTATCTTAAGACAGTGCCCTGCATGACATGGTGTCCTTTTAGGATTTATTGACCAAATGGATAGACACACCAAAAAGGAATAGACAACCTCTTCTCAATTAGATATCTAGGCAAAACCCAAAAGCCAAGAATCATGGTTCTAATTCATTCTTGCAGAAGAGAGGAGAGGAGAGGGGAATGAAGAGGAGGGGAGAGGAGAGGAGAAAGCTCATAAGCAGATTTCCCATCACCTTCGGTGGTCAAGGTATTTCTCTGCCTGGGGCTATCTATATCTTCCAATCTATTTATCTTTCCAGTTATGAAGAACCTCACCATATTTTCCTCCTGGATTTTTTCATATGCCTGTAGCTTGTGCATATTTAATATGATATTGCAGATAAGTGAGGAACAGGACTGTTTTTACCTCATTGGTGTATCCTCAGCCTTCTCTCAATAAAATGTTTGCAGGGCTTGTGTGCTCGCTCTTTAAAAGTTGGAAAGAAAATCTTGAGAAAACAAGTAACCAACACGCAGCCCTGACAGAGTCTGGGGCTGACATTTGCAGAAGGTCTTGCTCCCTATTTGACTTCCCTAACTTTGTAAGAGGAGAAATAGGTATATAAACCATGATTAAATAGAGTCAGACTCCTTTGGCAAAAAGATCCCTACAAAGCCTTCGCCTCTTCTGAAGGACCTGGAATGCCTTTATTGATAACCAAATGGTTGCTGTCTGGCATTTATAAAGATGATGGCTATGACCACTGCTATGGTGCCACTGGGTACTATGGCTGAGAATTTGTCCGGATGAGTTCATGCAGTCCCCTTGGTGCCAATGGAACCCTTTTAATAGATGGAAGGTTAAATAAGACAAACTTTCCTGGCTATCCAGGGAGATACTATGGCTTCATTACCACCACAGCCACATCCATGTGCCAGCTTCCCACCTGTGAAGACTTAAGATAGTTGGCCTTATCAGTCCTTCTGAGAATATCCACTGGCAAGAGATTTTAAACATAGTCAGCCAGGATATCACTTCCTCTGACTTCTCTGGCTTCTTCCTCTCTGCTCTCTATTTTTATATTAGCAGAAATGTCAGGATGGCCAGGTATCAATGACAGGAAGTTTGGGACTACAAAATTATTCCTGGAGAATGTGTAACTCTGAAGTCCTCACAGGCTCTACTTTCGCTGAGCCTTAATGGGATGGGTGAACAGCTAATCCCTTGATTCAATGAAATCTATTTTAGATGCCAGGGGAACCCAGGGCCAAGGAGAGTTCACATTGTCATGTTATCCCACACACCATTTTCCACTTTACATGTTGTTATTAGAATTCACCAGCTGCATTTTCCATAATGATGAGCCTTCTACACGTTAGGGAATGTGTCAATAAGACATCAGTTACCTGCATACTTTTGGATTGTGTCAGCATTAGGGTCTTAGCTGTCATCTGGGAAGGTACTGACAATGGGACTCACTGAGGAGTGACTTGCACAGGGGTTTGCATTTTTTTCCATTTCCCAATCTGTCGTAAGTTTTCAGAACAATCTAAACTTCAAATAGTCTGTCCTATTGTATCCTTTTTGCCTTTTTATCTTCAGAAGTTTACAAACTGACTTAGACCTGACTTGTCCAGTATGGCAGCCAGGAACCACATGTGGCTATTTTGTGCTTGAAATGGGGTTGTCTAAATTAAGGTGTGCTGTAAATGTAAAATGCACACCAAATTTCAAAAATGTAATATGAAGAATTTAAAATATCAAAATAATTTTTATTTTGATTATACACTGAGATGCTAATATTTGGGGCAAACTGGGTTAATTAAAATATAGTTAAAAATTAATTTCATCTGTTTCTTTTTACTTTTTTATGTGGCTGCTAGAAAATTTTAAGTTATATATATAAGGCATATATTATATTTCTATTAGACAGTATTGACTAGACATTCCAGTATCTCAGAGTTCAAATAACAGCTGCTTACATTTAAAGGAGGACCCAAATCCTTCATCCAACCATGTGCTTGGAGTTTGGGCTCAAGAAAGAATAACCCCATGTCCATTCCTCTTGTCATCTCCTCTTCACCCAACACTACATAGAAAAGGCCGAATAGTGAAGGCATCAGAAATGCCATCACTGATTCCATGGGTCTGCAATTTCCATCCCCACCCCACCCCCCGCCTTCAGAATGGATGTGACATTTGGGTGTAATCATCACCAAGAAAGGATCTGGACCACTATGGTTCTGATTTCCAAATTTCAAATGAAATCACTAGTGATTATAAATAGGTGGAGGTCTTGGCACAGACACTCAAAGTGAAAGCAAATCTTGACTTTCTTTTTAATCCCCAGGGAGAGAAACATGAAGTCTTTACCATCATTATCTTTTCAGGGATTCCTCAGCTTTCCCTTGCTATTTTACATATTTGCCAAAGGATTACATTGTTAAATTAGGAACTGCATACTAAACTAATCATATTGTAAAGGCTGATCTTTTGGAAAAGATGCTTTGCAAAACCTAGTTGTGGAAAAACCAAGGACAATCAGAACTATACGAGGTGGGGGAGGGGGCTTTGTAAATATCCCACAGAATGAAAACCAGGAGCCAGTCGCAGCTGTACTGGGGGTAGGGGTAGTGAAGTACAAATCGTGCCAGGCAATATATGATTGCTTTTTTATTTTCCGACAGAAGAAAATTAGTGCTTCAAAGGAACTCAGTAGATGGAATGTTTTCTTGAATTCTAGAGAATCATTTGACAGATGTCACAGAAATCTTGTTGAGCACGTTCAGGGAAACTTGCTAAAGGAAAGGGAGCTGGAAGTGCTGTTGCCAGAGAAGCTATGCAGGCTATATAGGTCCTGGGGTAAGAGGGAGGCCTCCCTAGGGCTTGCACACTTTCCGCCATGTGTCTTGATGTGTATTAAAGCTAAAAAATAAATATATCAGTAACTAAAGCTCAAGATATTATCACAGTTTGCCAACCACAAAATAAGCCCATTTTCTTGACTTCCTCCCAAATCTCAGATAAAGGCTGCTAGCTGGGGTCACGTCTATCCAAAATGCACCTTCACCACCACATGCTTCTAAAAGCTGCCTCACTGAACTACACCTCCTAACATTAAAAAAAAAAAAATCAGCATTCACAAATGTTATTTTGTAGAGGTTCCTTATCTAAAAATGGAATATGCATTAGCTGAAGATCTGCTGTATGGAATTTCAAGCATCTTTTAGCCACATATTCCAGTAAACCAGTCCCTGTATGTTGTTCCTAAATAAATTTGAATCGGTTCCCTTGTTTCTCCTCCCCCGCCCCCCCATCTCCAATCCAATTAGCCTGCTTATTTCTGATGCCCAGCACCTGCACCCAGAGTGCTGGCATGGGGCCTGTGTGGGGATCGGGGGCAGTACACATTACTCTGCTGGAAAATGAGCCCATTAACAGGATGGAAGACCAGGTTTGAGGGGGAAAGTTGAGTTCAGTTTAGGTTTGCAGATCAGAGCTGGATCTAGAGCTACAGACTATGGAACCACAGTATCTAGATGGTGGAAACAACCATGAGAACTGATGAGATGGCCCATGATAGGAGTGTGGGCTGCAGACAGGACTCAGGACTAAGAAGTTGAGGCCAGAAGACAGAGAGCCCGGAAACAGGGTGTCACGAGAGCCATCCTCATACTGAGTACTGAGGCGCACATGCCCAACAATGCAACCAAAGGAAGTGCCAATAGGAAGACAGCAAAGTGTCCTTTGGACATGGTTTGAGACTCTACTGACTTTGGAGGCAGTCCTTTGGACAGATGATCAAGAAGCTAGGAGTTATTTTTTTTATTAGTATCTACTAAACATTTAATTCAATTCCACTAGTTATTTCTACTGATACGGATGATTAAGAGTTAATATACAGTAGCACCTACCAACATCAGCTTTCTGGTTTTTGACAGTGTACTGTAGTTATGTAAGTTGTTACCTTTGGGGAAAGCTGGGTGAAAGGGACATAGGAACTCTGTACTGTTTTTATAACTTCTTGTGAATCAAAATATTCCAAAAAAAAAAAGTATTTTTAAAAAAACATTTAATAGGACAAGGCATTTCCAAAGACTCAAGCTTCTCATGGGCGTCTTCTCTCTATCTGCTGATAGACCCTCATCCTCCTTCAAGAGCAGGGGCTTTCCCTTCACTCCCTCCTGAACTATTTGCTTCTCACTGGGCATGGGATAGCGTGATGACGGCAAGGTCTCTGAAGGCAACCAGGGAGGCTCTAATAATACTGGCGGCACCAGTTCCTACCCTTAAACCTGGTGTTGGGCTTCTGTCAGAGCCAGGGCTGTGACTTTGAGCCTCTTTTTTGAGGGGGAGTCTCAGGGCTGGGGGATTCTGGGAAAGCCCTCTCTTCCCTCCACACTGCATGGTCAAATCCACCAACCAGGCCTTCCTCTCTTTCGCTTTCAGGACGCTTCTATTGCGCACAGATTCCACCTGATGAGAGAAAAACACCCTGAAAAGTTCAACAGCAGGTAAGAGGGCTGAATGCTCGCTGCTCTGCCGCCAGGCCCGGGCCTCCCCGTCCGGTTCTCGGCCGGACCGTCGCATTGCTGGAAGGAGGGTTTCCATTTCCAAGGCCCCGGGGGGAGGGGGAATGTCCCCTCGGGGAGGATCCGCGCAGAGGGAGGATTGGGAGCGTCTTCGGCCTTGGGGGCTCGGCGGCTTCCCTCAAATGCACAGCTTCTCCACCCCCAGCCCCCGCCGCGTCTCTTCTGCGGATGGACAGGGAGGGTACGAGGGGCTCAGCTTCTCCCAGTCCCAAACGGGAGGAGGCGACAGCCCTGGGATTTGGGCCAGGAGGATCCGGAGGGCGTCGCCACTGCCTTCCATGACAGCAGAGGGCAGCAGCAGAGAGGTACAGGGTAGACTGGCGCCCACTCTGGTCAGGTCTGGGCTGGATGTCAGGTTCAAATGTGAAAGGACAGAGAAACCCAGGCTGTTTGCAAATGAGATGAAACTCTTCTTGCGTGCCCGAGGGAATTTGCCAGAACTGAGTTGTGACCCACATAGAACTACCCCTGAGATTGTCAAACTGTCTTTCTCCCTTCTTCCTCTCCTCTCTCTTATTTCTCATTAGCTAATTTCTATCCTTTCTCTTTCCTCTTTGTTGTACTCTTTCAAGATGACTACCAGATCCCACCCCCCAACCTCAGGCAGGTGGGAAGGAGTGTGGATAATAATCTAAACTTGATCATTGAACCTGAAGGGTTCACAGAATTCTCTTCAAAGCAGAAGTTAGTGTGTTATCTGAAGATGTTCATTTACAACCCAGCACTCCCCAAAGTGTCAGCCACTTTCCTTCTTCCTCTTTGCCTGGAAGGTTAAGTAAGAAGAAAGTTGTTTTAGGGATCAGAAACTGAACATAAGTAAGTGACTTGAGCCTCGAGAAGGGAGATCAGTGGGGTCCGATAGCCCTGAACTAACTTTATTATGGTGTGCATCTGATCACAGCATATTCCTTCTTGCTCTCTGGCATACACAAGACCCCGACGCCTTCATTACACACTGATGTGTGCTTCCAGCCCCTACTACTATAGTCACAAACTTTTAATTCCATTCATTTGTCTCTCAATCTTTTTCATTCCTGTATATGTAGACAACCAATTTTTTAAGTCTCCTCTTCTGCCCATTTTACAGACTTTAAGGTCCTCTTTTCATACAAGTACCTTTACCCATCCTCATACACATGTGCCTGTGAAGATGCCATATGCTTGTAAGATCTGTGGGTTCTAGCCATCCATCCATTCAACAGTATTTGTTGAAAACAAATACTACTACCAGACACTATTTTATGTGTGTTTGGGGTAGACCAAGGTAAGGCACCACAGTTCCCTGGTGGAAACAGGCTAGAAAGGAGACCTGCATAATGGTCTGTAAAAAATGACCTAAGGGACTGATGACAGAGGTGCCCCATCAAAGGCAGAAAACAAGACTGTATTTCCCAGTTTGGCAAAAAGAGAAGGGCAACCTAGTGAGAAGGAACCAAATGTACAGAAAGATACAAAGGAGTGAGAGCACAGTGTGTTTGGGGAAGATTAAGCCACTCAGCGTGTCTGTTGTGTGGTCTATGGGCATGGAAAAGTTTATAAAGAATGAGGTAGCAGAGGGAGAGAAAAATTTCTCCATATTCCAAAAATCAGTAGACAGGTCAATATATGACATGAATAGTGCAATCCTGGATCGCCCACATAACTGTACAATTAGAAAGATACATCTACCAGAAGAAAAAACAGTGTGCATTTCAATGCAAAGTATGAAGAAATTCACTGTGATCTGTGTAACTGTTTTTGTTTCCACTCCCTGGACGCCACTAACAAGACTACTTTTGGAGGTCAGGTTTGCACCTTACTTTTCACCTGGTTGAGGTCAAGGTAGTGTGGTCACCTGGGTTGATAGGCACATGGACTTAATTTTTTTTTCAGTACTGAGGCTTGAACTCAGGGCCTACACCTTGAACCACTCCACCAGCCCTTTTTTGTGAAGGGTTTTTTCGAGATAGGGTCTCATAAACTATTTGCCCAGGTTGGCTTCCAGCCAAGATCCTCTTCATCTCTGGCTCCTGAGTAGCTAGGACTACAGGCATGAGCCACTGGTGCCCAGCTATGGACTTCCATTTAATCCATGTGCTTGCCTAAGATGTGAAGTGAGGGACAGAGGTAACTCTATTTCACGAGATCACCAAGCCATTCCCTACCAAAAACTTTGGGTCCATGCTGCTTCAATCCTGCCTGCTTGCCTGTGTCCAAAATACCCAGGAGTGCTCAATTTGACCACTGAGAGGCAGGCAAGCAGCCATTTTCTCCATGCTTCCTTATTTAGCGTTGGAAATGGTTTTAAATAGGCAGGTGGTTGTTGCCATGGTTACTCCATTACACCAACAGCTAAACTTAGGAAGGGCCCCAAGGGATAGGAAGAAAGCTTGATACCCAGGATTTGGAAATATAAACAATATTATCAAACAAGGCTGCATTTTGCTTGACTGAACTGAGGTTCTCCAAAGAGGAAGCCTTTAGCATTACTGCCTGGAACAGTGCACTGAGGGATAACCTTGAGGTTAAATATAGGGAGTTGTAATTGTTCTGTTTGTTTTGTTTTGTTTTCAACTAGAGATTGGTGACTAGTCAGGGCTAGAAGTTCCTTAGGAAACCTGAATCTTTTTCACATTGCTGGGTCCATTTTCTGGGCTATTCCCATAAGAATTCTGAACCAGGGTCCAAGGGCTTCAGAGTCCTGAAAACTTGAAACCTTGAAACTATAAGCTAATAAGCCATGGTGGGCTTATTAACCTTTGTTAATGGTCTCCATGGGGAAGTGCTTGCTATATTCAGAAGAAGGGGATCACAGATAACACTGCCTATGCATACCTTGTATGGCACAAAGTCTTCTCCCTTTTTCAATGGGAGAAGCAAGGACTGGGAGCATGGCTCAAGTGGTAGAGTGCTTGCTTAGCAAACTTGAGAGCCTGAGTTTAATCCCCAGTACCACCACCACCCACCCCTTCAAAAGAAGAAGCAAGACTGATTTTGTATAACCCAGAGCAAAATATACAAGCCCTTGTTCAAAAACTGTCAAGAATTTCAGTCATGCACCGGTGGTTCACATCTATAACCTAACTACTTAGGAGGATCAAGGTTTGAATCCAGCCTGAGCAAATAGTTCTGCAAGACCCTATCTCAAAAAGAACCTTCACAAAAAAGGGCTGAAGTGGCTCAAGGTGTAGGTCCCGAGTTCAAGCCCCAGTATCACACACACAAAAAAAATCAAATTGGTGACAGAGCATTAAACTAAACCCAGTGGCTTAGGAGGCTAAGAGCAGGGTCCAGAATGACTACACAGATCTTACCCTGTGAGCTGGCCCTGGCAAGGCAGAGAGGGATTAACAAAAAGAAGACACATTTGCCAGGGTTTGGAGAATGGATGGAGTTTGCAATAGAGGCAAAAGAATGGAGCAAAGAGGGTTTAGATTAGGGGAGAAGAGGAACTATCAGTTCCTCAGAGAGGCAGCAGTCAGTGCTAACAGAGGAGACAAGAATGCCACCCAAGTCTTCCAGATATTGAAGAACCAGAACTCCATATGTCTCCAGATTAACTCTCTGTGAAAGGTTGGGTGTATATAGAAAATATTCCTAAAGGCTACCAAATTCCGATGTCACTGTCCATGAGAAGTCTAACTGTGGAGATTTGTCCTGTTGGTCAGAAACTCAGAGCACTTGAGGAATGTGTCACTCCAAACTTGTTGAGTGTCATCTACTTGAACATGTCCCTCAGCAGTTGAGAATGAGGCAAGCTATTTCCTGTCAGTCCCTTCAAAAGGACCGCAACAGTGCTTCATTCCTGTCAGAAGCTGACCACCTTTCCCAAAAGCCCTTGGGGAATTAACTCCAAGCTCTAGAGTGTTAGTTTTCTTGGAGGCAGGCCCATGGAGTAGCTGATGAGGGGTTCCCCAGAAGCCCTAATGCAGCTTGAGTCCTTAGAGGGTTTGGAAATACATCTTGCAAAGAAGTAAGCACTTAGTAGGAGGAGGCAGCAGGGTGTATCCCAAGCTGGCAATAAAATTTGCCTGTGCCACTTGTTCTCTGTATGACCTTGGGCAAGTAAATTAATCTTTTTAATCCTTTGCTTCCTCCCTTGAAAACTGAGCAAGGTTGCTATTAGCATTTAATGAAATAAAATATAAGTTTATGGCATATAGTAGGTTCTCAACTAACACTTGTTGCTGAATAACATGAAATAATAAGCATGAGGAAAATGTTGCCCGAAATCACTAATAAAGACTTGACAATGGAAGTCTTTTTTGATGGAGCGGCAAGTGGGATTCAGTTCTTGTAAGATCTTTGCTCCGTAGACTGAGCCCTTAAACTGAAAAGCTGGAGGACACCTCAGCAATGATGCATCAAATCTGACCAAGTCTCTCTTTTAGAGTATGGAAAGGTGGCACCAATTTGCCAGGGTTGAGTTGGTTGGATTCTCTGGGACTAGACCTGGGGAGGAAAGTCCTTTTGCTGCCTGCATGAGGCAGATATTTGGATCTGAATAACAGAGTCTGAGTCAAACAGTTAAAGGCAGGATGGAGGCAGGCAGTCACAGACCCAGCTGAAATGTTATCTGGAGGAGCAGGTTGGAAGGGAGGAAGGAGTGTACAGGACAGGTGTCATGTGCTCCTTGGACACTTACTGCTTAGCAGCTGGAACTATTTTGTGCACAGCTGGTGGGTAGGCAGGTGCCTGAGCAGTCAGATGCTAGAGATAATGACTATACTCTCCCCTCACCCACCTCTTATCTCCCCCACCTCCAACCTTATCTGAACACAAAGATGTTGGGTTGGAGGCACAACAGAAGCTAGCAAACTCCAGGCTCAGAGTTCTGAAAATGAAAGGGTTTCTTCTTTTGAATGTCTATGGTTTGTTCTGCAGCCCCAGCTTATAACATATCACCATTTACATAAGATACTCTTATCTAAAAATGAAGCCATTCTAAGTCATTCTTTCCAGGAACCCCATGAAGGAGCACAATAGTACAGCCCAGATGTTTGGCTTTCCCAAAGCACAAAGGTTCAATAGAAGCAACCAGAAAGTATTCTCACAGTAAGAGTCTTCATTCTGTACCCTAAATTGCACTTTGCCTCTCCTCTTCCAATACTCAGCACCCCAAAAGAGACTACCCTACCTACATACCCAGCAATCCAAACTGTGTGTACCTATTTTCCCCAATATATGAAACTATCTTTTCAAATAGTTGGGTTTTGAAAAAGCCCCCAAATGCAGTTGGCTGTGGCATTTTCTATCTGTGTTCTTATTCCTGTACCCCTTTGGAAAGCAAATACAAATCTTAT